CACACACACACACACACACACACTTTCTCAAGCGCTCGCGCACACACATACACACATTTATATCTGTGCTTTGTTCGTGCGAGTTGAGTTTCTTGATTATTTATATTACTGGGCTTTCATTTTCTGCAGCTTACAGAACAATTAAAAAATTCGACCCGACCATTCCGAAAAAAAGGGTCTGAAAAAAAATCTGCTTTAATCAGCTCTAATGAGGAAAAGGACCCGTCTTGCAGCTCCCGAGGTCTGATTAGATTGACGCTAATATTTATTCAAGTTGATCTTTTAATCTTCATAATCGTCATTGTAAATTTAGTATTTTTTTTTTCAATTTACAGTTTATTTTTCATTTTTTTATGTTGATGGGTACTATGATCTGGGTACATAATTAGTTAATTCATTGTCAGCATCTGCTAGGTAAATCTGAATTGGGGTTTATGTGTTAATGTGTGCTGAGATGAGATGGGTTTGGTGAAAATTTATAGAATTCTGTATTTTTTTAAAAAAAAAATAGAAAAGATTATTGTAATGGGAGCCCATTTTAGATTTTTTAAGAAAAAATTGCTATCTTGGCCATTGCTGAAAATATACCCTGTTTTGTGATATGATTAGGAAGTTTTTGGTCCCGAGGATTATATAAGCTCGTTAACCGATGACATTCTAGTTTCGATTTTGTCTCGTGTGAAACTAAAAGAAGCTGCAGTCACTAGCATTTTATCTAGAAGATGGCGGTATGTGTGGACCCACTTGGCCCGGTTCAATTTCAACGGTAACAAAATGCTGGATAAAACTGCAGCTAATCGGAAACTAAAATCATCCGAGAGGCCTAAATACATCAACTGGGTCAACCGGGTCGTGAGGCAGCATAAAGGGGAGATTGTTGATTCTGTTCGTATATGTTTCGATTTGGACAAGAGTTCGAAATGTGCTCTGGACAATTGGGTTAAATTCGCAATCTCGAAAGGTGTCCAAAGGCTCGAGCTTGACTTGTTAGAAAATAGTGAGACGCTTAGGCAGCCCATGCGTAATTACACTTTCCCATATAAGCAATTGTGTAAAAAGATGTCAATGAAAAATGTCATGCGCCCGAATTTCGGGCAGATGAAGTGTTGTCTGAAAGCTCTCTCCTTGAAATGTGTGACTGTGAGTGAGGAGGCTTTCGACTGTATTCTATCCGAATGCCCACTTTTGAAATATTTGTCCATACACGGCTCGGGGGACTTGGTGAACGTGAAAGTATGCAGACCCTCTCTTATGTTGAAGCACTTGGAGATAGTGTTCTGTTTGGGGATAGAGACGATCGAAATCTCGAACGTGAACCTCGTGTCGTTTAGTTATTTGGGTCCTGGGATTGATTTAGTCATTAACAATGTGCCGATGCTCGACGAGATCTCCATAGGGGAAGGCTACTCGGGATTGGAGAACAACGTTTTTGGACAGCTCTCGTGTTGTCTTTACCAATTGGAGGTTCTTACGTTAGAGATATACCGTCCTGAGGTGGTGGTGAACTTTGTCCCCTTTTGTCTCTTTGCTAGTTTTCTATCTGAAAATGGAGTTTTCTTGATTTTTTTCTTCTTAATGTTATAGGAGAATATAAAGATTTCAGCATTTCCTGAGCTGCCGAAACTGAAGAAGCTGATTCTTAAAGTCGGGGCATGGAATGATGACAGTCTCCTCGAGTTCACTTCTCTAGTTAAGGCGTGTCCTAATTTGAACAGATTCGTATTGCAGGTAAGAATTTTGAGGTTAGTTTGTAAAAACTGGTTAACATGTTTTGTGTTGACAATCGAGAAAGCTTGATAAGCTTTCGGTAAATAATCGTGGTTTTTGCTTGTATTCGTGTCAAATTCCTGTATGTTTAATTTTTTTCAAGCATTGCATTGTCCTCGGTCCGTATTAAGAAATTATACTCTTTCTCACAGCTTGCTAGCCTTTAAGGCTTAAGCAATCGAAACTAAGTAAGACGCAACTATTGATTTTTTCACACGATTCTTGTTTGATTTTGAATAACTATCTGTATAATAATTGAAAAAAACGCTGATATAACTATAATAGTTGATTTGTCGAAGAGCTACCATTGCTACTTGAATCTGCTGCCCACAAACTTCTTCTACTTGAATCTGTTAATTGTATGGGCATTCGCCAAATAATTGGCGAAGAATCGCGCTAAGCGGGCGTGTAGGATCGATTACATTTTAACTTCATACATTCTAGTTTACAGAGACCTAATTTCGATTTTATAGTAGGGAACTATCATTGCTGGCCTAACTGAGGCATAATATCTAAATGATGATATTTTGATTTGGAGTGTGGACAAATAACTTGGACTTTTGCAGTTGTGAGTATCAATAAAAGCACATTTAACCCTTCATACAGATTCCTACAATCATTCCTGATATAAATCCCGGAGAATATAAAGAACAAATATGGATTAAAAAAAAAGTGAAGCAAAAGATCAAAAGGCAAACTAAAGGCCTCTTTTTAATTAAGTTGGAATTGACATTTATCTTTAGAAGTGACTGTCATTTTGCAGCTAATATGGATGGCGCCAGCTAAGAGGAGACGAAGAATACGAAAGGCTGCAAAATGTGCCCATAAGTTCTTGAAACTGGTCGAGATTGTCGGGTATTACGGGCGAACAAGTGAAGCCGAGCTCGTATTCTACTTTATCGAGAATGCACTTTCTCTCCAGAAAATCACGATCGACCCTCGCAACCAGATTCTCGGGAGATTCCCTGGTGGGCCCGACCAAATCAAGAAAGAGGAATCAGCTCGAAAACGGGCCCGGAAGCAGATCGAACCCAAGAAACCTCCCGGTGTCCAGTTGATAATTCTTTAAAGATGTGGACCGAACCGTGGTTGAGTACATGCAAGCCTTGGATGTTTGTAGTGAGTTTGTATATATGGAAATGGTAGATGATTAAAGTGAAAAAAAAATGGAATCAAATCCATAAAGGAAAATGAAAGGATATACAAGAGTTTTTTTGGTGCTCGGGAGTTCGAGAATTGTGAAGGTTCGAGGCAGTCTAACCATTAGGAAGTTTGACTCCCTCAAATGCACTGAAAGCTATGTTAAGGAACGTTAAGGAGGGTGTATTCTTTTGGGATTTTGAACGACACTTTAAGACGTTTTGTTTGAGACTTTTCAAAATTTTTAGATTTCTTAGTAATCATGTTTGCGATGGGATTTGAGGTGAGATCTTTTTTTTT